CCATGGAGGGATCACTGCCCAGGGGTGGGAATGGGGAAGGAATGATCAGTGGAGGGATCACTGCCCAGGGGTGGGAATGGGGCTGGAGACACGGACACTGCAATTCCAGAGCCTCGGGGTGGGTCAGGGCTGCATTCCATGTGCCCATCCCTCCGGGAAGGGTTTCCAACCCTCCAGGAAGGATTCCCACCAGAAAGAGCTCCCTCTCTCCAGGAAGGACTTCCCATTCCATCTGGGAAGGATTCCCACCCTTTCAGGAAGGATTTCACACTCCCTCCAGGAAGGATTTCCCACCTCTCCAGGAAGGATTTCACATTCCATCTGGAAACTACTGCCCATCCCTTCAGGTGGGATCTCCCATCTCTCCAGGAAGGATTCCCATCCCCTTGGGGAATAATTTCCCATTCCCTCCAGTACAAAATTCCCGCCCCTTTGGGAAGGATTTCCCAGCCAGGCTGTACCTCTCTTGGGGACCTTCATGGCAGCAGATTCCGGGGTTTCTGGGGACGTTGTGTCGGCTCCATCCTCAAACACCTGGATCTGGAGAAAGGACAACGACCATTATTGCCAAAAATTCCCAAACAGGGAGTCCAGGGAGTGGGTCCCTCTGGCAGTGGGATCAGCAGAGCAGATCCCACGTTTTTGGCACAAATTTTTGATTTCATCATTCCAGCTTTGCCATCAAACATCCTCCTTCCACAGGCTCCCTGAGAACAGCCACAGGCTTTTATTCCCGTCTGGAATAAGGAATATTCACACAGGTAATGAGGAAAGCCAAAGGTCTGGATTTGACAGCCCTGAATATCCATTACAGGTTCAGGGATTTCTCTTTGTGAACTATTTTTGGACACATTTTTGCCGGATAAACATGGAAAACCGGGCTGGAAGGGATTAGATCCCTGTGGGAGAACCACCCTCGTGCCTCAGATCAGCACCTCCCGGATTGTCCCTGCAGGAATCTGCCTGATCCATGAGCACCTCCCACCGGGGAGCTCAGCTTAAAAACCAAAATCAGAGTCAGGGATGATGGTTCCACACACCAAAAAAGGAACAGTCGTGTTTGGAATGTCCAGCCCAGGTACAGCCAGAGAATCCTGGAATGGTTTGGGTTGGAAGGGAACTTAAATCCCACCCAGTGCCACCCCCTGCCGTGGGCAGGGACACCTTCCACCAGCCCAGGTTGCTCCAACCTGGCTTTGGACACTTCCAGGGATCCAGGGGCAGCCACAGCTGCTCTGGGAAATTCATTCCAGCCCCTCACCACCCTCACAGGGAGGATCTTCTTCCCAATATCCCATCTCTCCCTGCCCTCTGGCAGTGGGAAGTCATTCCCTGTGTGCTGTCCCTCCCTGCCTTGTCCCCAGTCCCTCTCCAGCTCTCCTGGAGCCCCTTCAGGCCCTGCAAGGGGCTCTCAGCTCTCCCTGGAGCCCTCTCTTCTCCAGGTTGGACATTCCCAACTCTCCCAGCCTGGCTCCATGGCAAAAGAGCTCCAGAATTCCAGACAGGGTTGGGTTGGGGAGGACCTTAAATCCCAGCCAGTGCCACCCCCTGCCCTGGGCAGGGACAGCTCCCACTGCCCAGGCTGCTCCAAACCCCATCCATCATCCCTGTGGATGAAATCCATGGGATGAACTGGGGAGCAGCATCCCAGACCCATCCAGACCATCCCTGAGCCTTGTGCTCAGCACCCCCTGACCCTCCTGGTCCTGCAGACCCCACGTTTTCCCTGTAAACCCCTGGAATCCTTTCCCAGCTGGCAGGTGAGGCCGAGGGATGGCCAAGGGAGTGGGGTCCATGTGTCACCCAGTGCCAAGGTCCTGGCAGTGCCCGGAGGGGCAGCAGGAAAGTGGGAAGAGCTGGAGACACCATGGGCTGGGACACAAAGCAGCCCCTTCTTCCAGGGAGGAGGACAGGATCTGGCTGGGAAACGGGGCTGGGGACACCCGGAGCTGGGGGCTCCAGTGCCACCTCTGCCTTGGGAAGGTGACACAGGGAATTCACCTGGAAGGTGTTTGCCCCGGAGAGCTCCTGGGTCCTGCTGCAGCCCAGGAGCAGCAGAGTCAGCAGCTGCACCCACCCAGGGGGTTTTATCCACTTCCAGGCAAACACAGTTTAATTCAAATTCCCCGGCTCTGCTTCCAGACAAACACCGAGATCGATCCCAAACTCCACCTGCTCCAGGGGGTGACTCTGAGCAGGCTGGGAACTTCCCTGGGAGGAGGAATAAAACCCTTTGGAATTCACCGGGCTGTTTTCACCCCATTCCCCTGGAAACACCCCACAATAACCCCGTGGGCTGACCAAGACCTCAAGGATCCGTGTGGAGGTTCCACCTGCCTGGAGTGTGCTGCTCCCTCCCACATGGAGACGGGAATCCCAGGAACCCCACGGCCCTGGGAGCAATGGAAACTGGTTTCTCTCTCCCCACCCGGGTGGGAAGGGCTGGTTCCCTCTGTTTGATGAGCACCTGAGGATCCTGGGAAGCAGAGCCCACCAAGGATGGTGGGAAGTGGAGCCCACTGAAGGACACCAAGGATCCCGGGAAGCAGAGCCCATCAAGGATCCCAGGAAGCAGGGCCCTCTGAGGAACACCGAGGATCCTGGCAAGTGGAGTCCACCAAGGGACACTGAGGATCCCAGGAAGCGGATCCCCCCAAGGATCCCAGGAAGTAGAGCCCACTGAGGGACACCGAGGATCCTGGGAAGCAGATCTCCCCCAGGATCCCAGGAAGTGGGTCCCCTCAAGGATCCCAGGAAGCACAGCCCCTCTGAGAGTCCCAGGAAGTGGATCCCTCCGAGGATCCCAGGAAGCAGAGCCCCTCAGGATCCCAGGATTGGATGCCCCCAAGGATCCAGGAAGCAGAGCCCCCTGAGGATCCTGGGAAGCAGATGCCCCTCAGGATCCCAGGAAGCCGATCTCCCCAAGTCCCAGGAAGCAGATGCCCCCAGGATCCCAGGAGCAGTTCCCCCCACGATCCCAGGAGCAGTTCCCCCCAGGATCCCAGGAAGCAGATGCCCCCTGGATCCTGGGAAGCAGATTCCCCCCAAATCCCAGGAGTAGTGCCCCCCAGCATCCCTGGAAGCAGATCCCCCTGAGGGTCCTGGGAAGCAGCTCCCCCCAGGATTCCAGGAAGTAGATGTCCCCCAGGATCCTGGGAAGCAGATCCCCCCAAATCCCAGGAAGCAGTTCCCCCCAGGATCCCAGGAAGCAGATTCCCCCAGGATCCCAGGAAGCAGCTCCCCCCAGGATCCCAGGAAGCAGATGCCCCCAGGATCCCAGGAGCAGTTTCCCCCAGAATCCCAGGAGCAGCTCCCCCCAGGATCCCATGAAGCAGATTCCCCCAGGATCCCTGGGAGCAGACCCCTCCAAATCCCATGAAGCAGATCCCCCCAGGATCCCAAGAAGCAGATCCCCCAAATCCCAGGAAGCAGCTCCCCCCAGGATCCCAGGAAGCAGATGCCCCCTGGATCCTGGGAAGCAGATCCCCCCAAATCCCGTGAAGCAGTTCCCCCCAGGATCCCATGAAGCAGATTCCTCCAGGATCCCAGCAGCAGTTCCCCACAGGATCCCAGCAGCAGTTCCCCACAGGATCCCAGCAGCAGTTCCCCACAGGATCCCCGGAAGCAGACCCCTCCAAATCCCATGAAGCAGCTCCCCCCAGGATCCCAGCAGCAGCTCCCCCCAAATCCCTGGAATGAGCTCCCCCTGGCTCCCGGGATCTGCTGACCTGTGACTGCCTGACGAAGATGCCGTGGTTCTCCTCGCAGGTGAAGTACTTCCTGCCCTGCACGGTGCCGTCGTTCTTGCCGCGGGGCTCGTCCAGGATGACCCCCACCCACTTGCCGGTGGCGAACAGGGTGGCCCCCACGTAGGCCACGGTGCCACGGTGCCCCTTCCCGATCACCTCCACGCGGGAGCCCACCTTGAGGGGCCTGCTGCCGCCCTCCGAGCTCATCCTGGCCGTGCTGGAGGCCTGGGGAGAGGGGAGAACGGGGTGAGAACGGGGACAGACACGGGGACAGACACCAGACACGGGGACAGACACGGGGACGGGGGGTTTGGGCGTGGGACACCCCGTCTTCCTCCACCTCCGCCCCCTCTGAGCTGGGAGCCAGCCAAGGGCAGCTCCTGCCATTGCAGCTCCCGAGCAGGAGCCACAAACCACGGCACAACCACCACCACTGGTCACGCCGGACTCACAAACCCCATTTATGACCCTTTATAACGTTTTTATGGCGTTTTTATAAGCCTTAAGGGGGAAAAAAACCCCCGGCCGAGAGCAGCACAGTTCAGGGCCTTATCTTGCTCCATCTTATGCGTTATATCAGCACTGCCCAGGAATTCCAGCCTGGGAATTCCCTGCCCAGGAGCAGGCAGCCCATTTCTGACACAGGTCACTGTCCCTTCCCTTCGGACTGTTGGGATTTTGGGGGATCCGGTGGCTCAGCCCCCACTGTGTCCCTGGGACCCCCTGTGCTCAGGGTATCCCCCCAGGGAATGCGGTCATCCAGCTCTCCAGGTGTGAGTGTCATTATCCAGGACAGAGGGAATGGCCTCCAGCTGTGCCAGGGGAGGCTCAGGTTGGATATTGGGAAAATTCCCCCTGGAAAGGGCTGTGCAGCCCTGGCACAGCTGCCCAGGGCAGGGGGGAGTCCCCATCCCTGGGGGGATTTAACACCCTGTGGATGTGGCACTTGGGGACACGGTCAGGGGTGGCCTGGGCAGTGCTGGGGGAGTGATTGGACTCAGGGGTCTCAGAGGGGGTACTGGAGACCCTCAGGATCATGGAAATCACAGGGAAGTTTGTTGGGATCCACCCTCGACACCTTCTCTGAAACCAGTCTGAGTGAAATCACAGAATCCCAGGATGGTTTGGGTTGGAAGGGACCTTAAATCCCACCCAGTTCCATCCCCTGCCATGGGCAGGGACACCTTCCACCAGCCCAGGCTGCTCCAAGTCCCATCCAACCTGGCCTTGGACACTTCCAGGGATCCAGGGGCAGCCTCAGCTGCTCTGGGTAACCTGTGCCAGGGCCTCACCACCCTCACAGGGAAGAATTTCTCCCCAATATCCCTCTAAATTTCCCCTTTCCAGGTGTGAAGCCATTCCCCCTTGTCTTTTCACTCCATCCTGTGTCCAAGGCCCCTCTCCTGCTCTCTTGGAGCCCCCTCCTCAAACTCTGACACCTTTCAATCCCAGTGCCCCTATCCCAGAGGGAATGGGGGTGTTCCCTGCCCTGCTCAGCTCCATCTCCCGCTCACCCCCAGCTCCCAGTGGTCCTCAAACGGGACCAGTTTGGCACTTCCCACACCCTGTGTGTCACTGGTTCTGGCCATTGTGCAGAAATGTCAAGGTTTGGCCTCCCTGGGCCCAGTTTCAGTGGAAGAATCTGTCCTTTATCCCAGGAAAACAGAGGCTCTTTCACCCAGCACGGCGGGGAATGGCCGGGAAGGGCCCTGGGGATGTGGGGACAAACCTCAGCCACAGCTGGACACCACGGGGGGTTTGGGAGATCCAGGGAATTCTCAGCCTGTGGAAGAACCAAGGGGACTGTGGAAGTTCCTGGAACCCCAACAAACCATCCTGTCCCCTTGCACGTCACTGCCCGGGCTCGGAATGCTGAGTGAACCCACCGTGTTTGGGGAGTTCTGGGACTAAAACCAGGGATGTCAGTTTTCCACCAGCCTGAATTCCATGTTCCATCCAAATACAACCAGGAGAAACCAAATACAACCGGGAGAAATCAAACAAAACCGGGAGAAATCAAACACAACCGGGAGAAACCAAAGGCACAAAACACTCTCGTGTTAAAACCCCGAATCCATCACCCAACAAACAGACCCAAAACCTCAAAGGCAACATTTCTGCTCCAGAGCCAAATGTCTCCCCAGGTTCTGGCTCCTCCCAGCTGCCAGGGCTGCAGCAGCATCCTGCCAACACCTGCACCTGGAAAATCGTGTCCCAAGTGAGAGCAGAGCTCCAGGAAAATAAGAAGCCCAAAGAAAAGCCCAAAGGAAAAGCCAGAATTCCCAGTCAAACAAAAAGTTCCTGCTCAGCACTGTCAGAAGCTTTTATCCTCCTCACTCCTGTGTCCCAGGGGCACCTGCAGCCAGGCAGGATCCATCAGTGTGAGACACCCCAAACCCTGTGGATACCTCTGTCCATGGGAAGCCATTCCCAATCGTCCTGTCCCTCCATGCCCTGTCCCAAGTCCCTCTCCAGCTCTCCTGGAGCCCCTTTAGGCACTGGAAGGGGCCCTAAGGTGTCCCCGGAGCCTTCTCCTCTCCAGGGTGGACATTCCCAGCTCTCCCAGCCTGTCCCCGATGGGACAGTTGCCAACCAGCACTAATTTGACAGAAACATTTCCCCGAGTCCTTCACATCTGGGAAAGCAGGAGAGCACAGAACTCTCATGGATCCCCTCTGACCTTCCCAGTGGGACACCCCAGGGCTCTGGATACCCCAGGGCTCTGGATACCCCAGTGCTGAGCACGGGGTGAGCAGGGATGGTGAGGGAAGAGGATGGAGGAGCAGAGCTGTGGGAACACACGGGAAGGGAGAAGGGCTGGACACACACGGCGGGGGCCACTCACAGTGACAGCCCCGTCACCGCTCCCGGCACACGGACAGGGAACGAGCTCCTAAATCCCAGGAAATGGGAAATCTGGGCAGTCCTGGTCACCTGGGGCACCAGGGGCCAGCTGGGGACATCTGAGGGGGGCACAGGGCAGGTGGTGGGCACGGGGCAGCCAGAGGAGCACCCGGGAATGCCGAGCCTCCGGGGCAGATCCCGGCAGGACAGTCCCAGGCTGGATGAACCCACCGGCCCGGGAGTAGCCTGTCCCACACCCTGTTCACAGGGACACCTGTCCACAGGGATGTTGCTCCAGGTGAGGAACGAGCCCGTGGCTGTGCTGCCACCAGGACACTGCTCCCCACAACTTCCTGCCTGGCACCGCTCTGAAATCCCGATTTTTCCATTTTCCCCCCTTTTTTGAAGCATTGCACACATCCACAGACCGTCTGCTCCACTGCGTGGAGATCCTGGGTCTGAGCCACTGCAAAGGGGATGAATTCCCAGCGATTTGGGTCATTCCCGTGTTTCCTCCGAGCGTGACGGTGTCAGTGTTCTGCTCCATCCCAGCGGATCACCCCGGGAATACTCAGTGTACTCCTGCAGCAGCCAGGCTCAGCTGGCAGGTGAGACTAACTGAGCCTCAAACTGTCACTCAGAGCTCAGATCACAAGTTTCAGGAGAATCCCGAGCCCAGCAGCCACCTCTGACGAGGTCCAAATTCCAGGGGTGACCCAGCACGGCTGGAACAGGGAAAGACCTGGAAACAGTGCTGGGTTTAAGCCTGGTCAGCAGCGAGTCGGTGGCACGTGGCACTGCCACACCACCCCCACGGGAAGGAGGGATCACCCCGGGACTGAGAGTGTCCCCAGCACCCCATGGTGGCACCAGGATGAGGTTCCCAGCACCACGGTGGCACTGGACTCCAGCTGGGGAGCACGAAGCCAAACGGGGAGGCTGTGGGTGTCTCTGGACACTGTGACATCGGGCACAGAGTCCCCAAAACCCTCCGGGCACACGGCCAGGGCAGCCAGTGGCCTCAGCCCCAGGAAGGGCTGGCACAGCCTCGGTGCCTGCAGGGCCCATTCCAAAATCCATGTGAGCTGAGCACGGATAACCCGCTCACAGTGCCCTGCCTGCGGTGTGCCACGCTGCCCTGGGACCCCCCAGCACCCCCAGGACCCCCCAGCACCCCCAGGACCCTGCAGGCCGAGCCATGTCTCCACGGGCCCTTGGAGCCAGTGCCCAGCTCCCTCCCTGTGCCCCCAGCCCCGGGAGCCCCCGGGCACACCAACAGCCACCACGGTGTCCCCACGGAGCTGCCGGGACTCAGGCTGGAATTCCACCCCTTCATCCCCCCCCATGGAACACAGGGAGGTTTGGGGAGCAGGCAGCTCAAGCCCTCCCAGGGTGGGCAAAGCAACTTCCCAGCCCGGAGCCTTTCCCAAGGGGCAGCTGCTCCCTGGGCACAGCTCAGATCCCCCCGGCTCCAGGCCTGGCACATCCCAGGGCGGGCAGAGCCGTGCCAGGGCACGGTGCCCACGGCGGGTCTGGGGGTCCCAGGGAGCGGTGGGAAGGGTCTGCCCTGCCCGGCTCCAGCCCGGAGTCCCTCTGCCAAGCTGGCACGGAGAGGGTGCTGCCGGTGCCCAGCGGGGCCGGGACACAATGTCACCGCGGCCGGAGGGACGGGAACTCCCGGGAAAGGCCGGGCCGGGGGGGCCCCGCTGGCACCGCACGGCCCAGGGGCAGCTGCAATACGGAAAAACCTGGAAGCGCTTTGCCAGGCCCCGCGGAAGCTCCGTGCAGCCCTGGAAAAGCGGCCCGGAGGGAGGGAACACCCGCCGCAGGGAGGAAAACACCCGGGATCTTTGTGCCGAGCGGCCCCGGGGAGGCTGCGCCCGAGCCCCGGGGAGGCTGTGCCGCGATGCCCGGGGGGGGATTAGCCGGGGTAATTAACCGGGGGGATTAGCCGGGGTTAATTCCCGGCACGGGCAGGTAACTCCGGCCAAAGGACACGGCCCTGGTGCAGCCCGGAGCATCCACCCCCCCCCCCCCCGGCGTTATTGTCGGCGAGGGAGGTGCCACATTCCAGGGATGCGGGAGCGCGGGGAGCACAATCGAGATTTCGGCGCAAATCCAGGGGTTTTTCGCTGCCACGGCGCCGCGATCGGTCGCGACAGGAGCCGGGGAGCCCCCCCCTTACCCGGCCGGACGCGTGCCTCCTGCCCTGGGCCATGCTGCTCCCGAGATTCCCGAACCCCGGCCAACGCTCTCAGCTCATCCAGCGGCGCTTCCCAGCGTCCCGGCCGATCCCAGCATCCCCGCGCGTGTCCCTCCCCTCTCCCGGGGCTCCGCCGGGCGGCAACGGAGGGGGGAAAAGCCCTTTTCTGGGCGAGGATGCTCCGAGGGAGGGATACGGAGAATTCCAGCGCTGCCGATGGAGCCACTCTGCGCCAGTGCCGCTCCAGACTTGTCACCGCGCCGGCGGCTTCGCTGGGTCCTAACGCTCCCCGCAGGAGCAGGAGCGGGAGCGGGCACGGCCAGGGCACGGCCACGGCTCCCACGGCATTCCAAGCCTCCTCCCGCTGCGGGCACCGGCCAGGGACACCCCGCATTGCCCCCGACCGGGACCCCCCGGCCGCCACCGCGGCGTCCTGCCCGCACACAACCAAGGCTTGTCCCCCCCCCCCCCCCCCCCCCCCCCCCCCCCCCCCTGCTCTTCCCTCCCCGGCGGAATTCGAGGAAAAGCAGCCCCCCGGAGCAGGGTCTGTGCCAACCTCCCCCCAGGTACAGGTGAGCGGAGCCCAAGGGGTTAATTAGGGGCGTTGTTAACAGTCACTAATTGTCCCGTTGGTGGCTGAGCTGACAGATCCCAAATTAAAACGGGGCTTCGGGAGCCACCAGGACCGGGCACTGCCCGACACCCCCCTCCCAGGATCCCGTGCTCAGCGTGTCCCCCCGGGACCCCGACACACGGAACCACCCCCAAACTGCAGAGCCATGGAATACCCTGAGCTGGAAGGGACCCACGAGGATCATCCAGTCCAACTCCTGGCCCTGCCCAGGACACCCCAACAATCCCACCCTGTCCCTCAGAGCGTTGTCCAAACCCTCCTGGAGCTCTGGCAGCCTTGGGGCTGTGCCCACTGCCCTGGGGAGCCTGGGCAGTGCCCAACCAGCCTCTGGGGGAAGAACCTTTCCCTGAGATCCAACCTGAGCCTGCCCTGGCACAGCTCCAGCCGCTCCCTCGGATCCTGTCCCTGCTCACACGGAGCAGAGGTCGGAGCTGCCCCTCCTGAGTGTCCCCTCAGCCTCCTCCAGGCTGGACGAGTGACCCAACACCAGCACCTGAGCTGGAATGTGGCTTCAGGAGCCAGGAGAACAGGGAGGAAACCATGGATGTGCCCCAGAAAAGCAGCCATGGCACCAAGCATGGCACACTCAGGGAGAGGAAGGCCAGGATGGAGCTGGTGGCCATCGAGGACACAGCAATGGTGTTGAAGGGAATGAGCTTTAACAACACACAACCGGGATAAACAACACCAAACCCCGCTGGAAAATGGGAATTTCTCACTGGAACCACCAAGACCTCAGGCAGAGCCACCCCAGAGCCCCGCTGGTCACCGGAGCTCCAGCTGCTCCCCCTCTCCACGCTGGTTTAAGGGAAACGTCACACGCACAAAATCCACCCAAAAGCCTCCAAAAAGCTACAAAGAGAACAAGCTCCTTCCCTTTCCCCTCAGCTCCAGGGACAACCAGGACATTCAGGGCCAAAGCCTGCACTGGCCAGACAAAAAGCAAGTGGAACACGCCCAGAGCAGCTGAACACCCAGCACAGATGTACACTGGGTGTCCTGGTCCTGTGCCACCCAAACCCAACGGCCCTGGGACAAAGAGACCCCAAAATAAACACCCCCAGACTCCCCCTCATGTCTCTCCCAGGCCCAGCACATGCTGGGGCTCCCTGCTCCACTCAGGATCCACCCCTGGAAGTGTCCAAGGCCAGGCTGGACGGGGCTTGGAGGAACCTTGGCTAGTGGAAGGTGTCCCTGCCCATGGCAGGGCTGGAATCATTGGGATTTAAGGTCCCTTCCCAACCAAACCGTTCCGTGATTCCATGGTAAGTATTGAAGCAAAATGTTTCCCTTTTGGAAAATCTGAGTGATTTTATCCCCAGAGGGAAGAACCTCCTTTGGCATGGGAAGCTGCCAGTGCTTCCCTGGGAATCTGGGAGGAAATATCACCTCTGTCACCTGCTTATAGAATCATGGAATGGTTTGGGTGGGAAAGGACCTTAGAGCCCATCCCACTCCACCCCCTGCCATGGGCAGGGACACCTTCCACCAGCCCAGGTTGCTCCAGCCTGGCCTTGGACACTTCCAGGGATCCAGGGGCAGCCACAGCTTCTCTGCCCAACCTGTGCCAGGGCCTCACCACCCTCCCAGACAGGAATTCCTTCCTAATTTCTACACTCTAAAGGATTTGTGCTGTTCCTCTCCCCTGCAGCCAGTCCCAGATGCAGGGAGCAGCCTGGACTGGGACACAGCCCTGGGCCTGGGGCACAAACACTTGGAGGGTGCTCACCCCACGGCAGTTGTGTTCCAAGGAGGGGCTGGAATGCCAAGAGGGAACTCAAATTAGAGAAACCTTCCTCCAAGTGCAAGGAAAACACGGGAAGAGCCAGAGAATTCCGTGAGGAATTCAGACAGGGAGGGAGGGTGAGTGCTCTGGCAGCTCCAGGAATGGGGGGGCCTGGGATACCACCCCCCCAGAGGATGGGAACTCACCACTGCTCTTCCCACAGAGCCCTGGGAACAGCAGGACAGACCCAAATCAAGGAGAATAGCAGGAAACACCAGCCAGGCCTTGCTCCCAGGCAGAGCAGAAGAGCAGTTCTTTGTTTAACAATAAACAAACACCACACGGCTCCTTCTCCCTCCTCCCCAGTCAGAGTTTTCCAGGTTAAACCTGAAGCATGAGACAATTCTTCACACAAACACAATTTCACAGGATCATGGGATGGTTTGGGTTGGAAGGGACCTCAATGACCATCCAGTGCCACCCCCTGGATGGGCAGGGACACCTCCCACTGTCCCAGGTTGCTCCAAGCCTCATCCAACCTGGCCTTGGACATTTCCAGGGATCCAGGGGCAGCCACAGCTGGTCTGGGCAACCCGTGCTGAAAACAGCCTTGGAATCACAGAATCCTGGAATCCTCAGGTTGCAGAATCACTCTGAGACCCTCAAGTCCACCAGCTCTGCCCAGGCCACCCCTGGCCATGTCCCCAAGTGCCACATCCACAGGGTGTTAAATCCCCCCAGGGATGGGGACTCCCCCCTGCCCTGGGCAGCTGTGCCAGGGCTGGGCAGCCCTTTCCAGGGGGAATTTTCCCAACATCCAACCCAAACCCCTCCAGGGATGGCGACTCCATCATTGGGAAAACCCAAACCCGTTTCCCGTTCCACTCCAGGCCCTGGTGGCCCCAAAGGACAGAGATTCCCTGGAGCCTCTCAGCCCGGACAGATGCTGCCAAAAAGGGGGGAAAGCCCCAGTTTTAGGTCACTTGGAGCTAAACTGGAATTAAAACCTTGGAGACCCCTCAGGCTCCCTCAGAGGGTGCTGGGCTGCAGCGCTGGGGGGTCCCCACAGTTGTCCCAACATTCCCTGTGCACTGGGAATTCCTAAAGCCACACTAAATTGGGCATAAACACAAAAAAAAGAACCCCAAGAGACTTTGGAAATAAGCCATGGAAATGACCTTAAATCCCTGTTTTTGATGGATATCCCATTGGCACCACCAGGGAGATCCCATTCCTCAACATAACCAAGTCCCAAGCACCGCTCCCCATTCCTGGTTTATTTATTTACTGCCTGCACTGTGCATGGACAGGAACCCCTGGGGGAAGGAATCACGGAATGCCCTGAGCTGGAAGGGATCCACAAGCATCCTGAGCCCAGGTGTGGGACAGGAGCTTTGTTAGTGCTGGAATCAGAGGGACAGGGGAGGTTTTGGGAATTATCAAAGCCCTGTGAGATGCTCCAGAGCACCCCAGGCACACCCCAACCCCCAGGAGGCTTTGGCTGCTGTGGGCTTGGGCCCAAACCCGCTCTGTGCAGAGGAAAACAATTCCATTTTTTCCCCAAGTCAGGCAGAGCCACGTCAGGATGAGCTGCTGCTCCAGCCACAGGAATCCCCAGGGTGAACAAACCTTCCCGAGGCTCCCAGAAACTCCGGTGTCCCATTTTCCATGGAAACACACCCACTTTGTGATTAATCCCTGGCAATAACTGCACTGCTGTTCTCAGAAGGGTGGGCACGGGACTGCCACAGGGAGCAGGACCCCAGCCCAGCCCCTTCCCAGGAATTTGGGGATTTATCAGGAGTACCACGTGCCCCAAGTGCTGCTGGGTGATCCCACTGCCACTCAGAGAGTCTCTGGAGCAGCCTGGAGCATCCTCCACATGCCGGGGTCACACCTGGCCGGGCTTGGGGTGACCCTGGGAGGAAGCAGGAGGTGTCAGAGACCTCCAGGGATCCCCAGTGCCACCATCCCACCTCCACTGCACTTCCCAGGACAGGGATCTCCCCACACACCCCTCCAGCCACTGCTCTGCAGGACCCACGGGGATTTGCTTGTGCCCAAACTCTCCCTGCAAATCCTCATCACAGGTGAAAAGAGCCCCAAAAACACCCCACCTGATGCTCCAGGCTTTTCCCTGGGATCTGGGATAAACCCGGCTGGAACAGCCCCAGCTCAAGGAGCACACGGAGCAGGAGGTTAAAACCCTTCAGAATCTCCCACTATTTGTCCAGCACAAGAAGAAAATCCACCTTAATGCATTTATATATATTTTATAGACTCAGTCCCCAGTGAAATTCCTTCACAAAGGGGACTTTGGAGTTGGGATCAGATGAGTTTGCCAGAAAACTCAGTTCAGGAGAGAAATTCTAAACCAGCACTTGGGGTTCCGTTGTTATTGTGTCAATAATCAATTTTGGTGAGTTCAAGACACTTTTAATTCCTCTCTAAGCCCTGCACACCCCTCAGGGACCCCAAAAGTCAGCCTGGGCTCTGCTCTGCCTCAGGAGGGGAATCACAGAATGATGGAGTCATGGAATGGTTTGGGTGGGAAGGGACATTAAAGCCCATCCAGTGCCACCCCCTGCCACGGGCAGGGACACCTTCCACCAGCCCAGGTTGCTCCAACCTGGCCTTGGACACTCCCAGGGATCCAGGGGCAGCCACAGCTTCTCTGCCCAACCTGGGACAGGGCCTTCCCACGTTCACAGCCAGGAATTTCTTCCCAACATCCCATCCAACCCTGCCCTCTGGCAGTGGGAAGCCATTCCCTGTGTCCTGTCCCTCCAGGCCCTTGTCCCCAGTCCCTCTCCTGCCACAGAGCTCAGGGATGCAGGGGCTTCACCAGCCCCCCCAAATTAGGGACACCCAGCAC